CGGCGGGGGCGGCGGGCTCTGGGCCGGCCGGTGCGAACCCTTCCTACGGATTTTTCCATCTCTGCCGGCCAGGTGTTTACTTTTGCGCAGCGAGGCGCTGATCTCATCCAGGGGCGGCGGCAGGCGGCCGGCCGGGGCCGCGGTGGCTGAGGCTGGGGCTGAGGCGAACAACATCCTGCTGCTGAATCAGGCGGAGAAAGTCGTTATTTCTGTGACATAAATTCGTGGAACAGGGAAGCAGCCATGCGGAGGAGGAGAAGATGGGGGCATTATGTTGTGAAAAATTTGGGAACCGTCGTAATATGCATAAGTACATCATTCATACTGTCCCATGTAAATGTCCGAAATCCGATAACACATTTTAGTGGACGTTTATGGCAGTTGCTCTTCGACCATAGTCATTCAGGCCCGCATGTCCCACGACATCGCGGTCCTGGTGTATCGGGGAAACCCGCCATGTCTATCCGGACTGGATTGGTGACCAGGTCGGACCAGGTCGGGCCAGGTCGGACCAGGCCCCTCCCGGTCATCAGCCTCACGCAGTTGGCACCAGTCATGACGATCTACAAAAAAAAAAAAAAAAAGTGTTTGCCCCCCGCGATAAAAACGTCTCCGTTCTCTTGCGGGTTGACCGTCGCCCGGTGTGCTTTTTCATCGTCGTTGTGACCGTGCTCTGATGCTCCACCCTGGCCGGTACTGGCGGGCATCAGCCACCACCGGCTCGAGGGTACCGCCGGGGTGGTGCGTTCAAAGTTCACCGTGCGCACTATCGAACGATCACTCCCCGTGACACTCCGTGTGTTGTTGGTTCTATATCACGGCGTGGTTGTGATATCGGTTGTCGTTCGGCTCGCGGACGCACAACGGCAACGCTCACGGATGCGATAGGCGGACGAACTGACCTCCCAGCCTCCGTGTAGTGTTGGTCCCGAGGTTGTTCCGGCCAGAAAGAAAAACATGAAGTCGCAAAGATGCCGCACTATAACCTTGACGAAATGTGACATGCAAACTTTGTGGGCAGTCGTGACAAACTGGAAACAGTCACTTTCTCAGTCATCTAATCTCATGTTGCCACATAAAATGAGCAAATTTCTCAGGCATATACATACATAGGTCTGGAAACTTGTGGGCCAACCATATGAACACCTGGGAAATTTGTTTATTTTCATTTGGCAACATGTGGGCAGAAAACAGGCACAAAATCCAGAGAGTAGCAGATTGCGGAAGGTACTATTTCCAGTTTGTCACCTCCCCCTATCATTACATGTATTTCGTCTATTTTTAACTGGTCTGTCACGCGGCCAAGTCTAGGCGCGGGCATGTCATCGCGAACAGAACCGTCCATTGTTTGCGCCACTGTTTTCGCAAAACGTACACACTTTTATTTTCCTCACTTATTTCGGGCCAGGGAGTTGCTCGGTGTTGGTGCTTGCGCGCGTTAGGGCGGACATGTCTGTGCACAGACCGATCCACTTCCGGTCGCCTTATCACCGGCATTGATTGGCTAACCACAACCTCGCGTGCGCGAGCCGCATGACATGGCAGTGACTTTGAGCTGTTTCGTCTTCGCAGGCACCTCATCCCAGAGCGGTTACCCACTTCAACAAAAAACGTCAAAGTAGAGGTCAAAATGGTTCAAAATGTGAACTCTTGTTTAAAGTCGGTTCGTGAGCACCACCTATAGCTTTGCCCTGAAAGCCGCGGTCTGGGATACTCACTCGTCTGTCCTTGTCACCTCCTGGTGGCACCTGGCGGCCTGATAATGGTTCCAGCTCCAATGGCCTTAAGTGTTCATAAACCCGAACCCTGTGTCCTCTTCGGATATTTAAAACCGTGCCCTATTTCTTGTTGCAGAGCCCGCGATGGGGCGCTGGCGCTCGCTGTATAGCCGGGCCTCGCGGGACGGCGGGGCCGCCGACGGCAACGCGGCCGCCAACGACACGACTGTCGTCCCCAACAACTCGACGCCGCTGCAGGAGCACAAGAACGGCAACCTGGAGGTGGCGGCCATCACCGCGCCCGCCGTGAACGGGTGCGGCAGGAAGGACAAGGACACGAACGGGACGTGGCACGGCTCCGGGGATGGCGTCAGCGACCCCCTCAACCCCGTCACCAGTAAGTATTCTAAACACCGGAAGCGCCTCGCGCTAGCTTTGCCAGTGAAATCCAGGAGGATAAATTTAATTCCCCCCTCAAACGTTTCTCTGGAACCCCATCAGCAGGACGGACAGTACGTCGGTTGCGAGACCGAGAGTGGGACGTGGCTCGAGACTGTCCCACTGTTAGGTTTGCAGAGTTGACTGTACACCCCGAGGCGACGGCTGACCACTACCACTCCTCTGCCATGTCGGCTCTTTTTGAAGCGTGTTTTAATTGCAGTACGCTCTGACACGGCATTATCGGTGGGAGAGAAGGGAGCAGGAGGGGGGGGG